ACCTTCATTAAGACTTTGGTAGTAAATACATTTCGAGTTTATTTACCATTATTTTGTTATTGAGACGTTCCAAGTGCCTGTGATTATAACCTTTTTACAATGTGTATCATCATCATGCCCGTGTAAAAATGATATTGTAGTTTCAATTTGTACGAATGTCGGAATGAATCTAGTTCACCTTCGATGTACGCGCGTCTCTGGAATTACAAAGCCTTTTATACTTCAAACTGCCGTGTTGATCTGTCAACTTGATCAACATTAGGTGATCTCCTTCTTCGTTAGAATCCATTAGAAAATCAAGAATAGTCTTCCGTTGTGGTACATAATGATAACCTGATTGATTACAGCCTACAACCGAGAGACCGGTCAGCCTACCAGCTGGTAATGTTGCGTTTTAGTATTTGGTATACATGTTCAGTGATTGTGAGGGCCCCAAACCAGCAGCCATGTTTGCATTCACGAAAAATATGACGAACTTATTAGCTTCCAACAAAATAGATGTAGTTATACTTCCGATAAACATAAATTATTGGACATATATACCTGGTAAATAGCTCTGAGCCATTTTATCGCATATAACTGCCAAAATACCTTCCAAACTTCAATGTTTACATTGCTATGCACAAAAAGCCTCGTTTGGGGCCAATATGGCGGGGACGAAAATTATTCCATTAACTTTTACCTTTACCACCTTTACTAATTTTTATTATAGTTATAGCTAAGGTACCTCAAATGAAATCCAGTATGGAGTGTATATTGCTGAAATATAACATCAATAAACGACTGCATAATATATGTTGTCATTATTATCATCGTCATCGTCCTTTCCAAGTCAACATGATCATGCATGTATATTTATTGTATCGGATAGGACTGAATTTGTTTCCGTTTAATCCTAATATTATACAACCCTGGACGTATAGAATATACTATAATATACCATATCATAATATACTACTGTAGTATGTTTATTCCTGATTGTTGTTATATGTATAGTGGTTTTATAATTTTTGTGCAAAAAATTATTTAATTAATAATATTCTTTTTATCAAATTAACTAATAAAAAATTAAACAATCATTGTGTAGAAGTGATTGGGAGAAACTAAATGACGTAGATGGAAATAACGTTATCCAGGTCCATTGTTTTCTTAATTTTGTGCACAATAATCATATTGTACTGCTGCATGCGGCAGAGACAGAGGAATAACAAAACATACGTAAAGAAAATCCTGTGTGATAATCCGGTCTGGTGTTCACCAAACACAAACAACGTGGATATTGAGCATATGATACATTAATTTCAGGTTATTAATTAATATGTATACATACAATAACACAATGGTGCATCACTTTTACCAATAGTAGTTACAATCCAATTTGAAAATGATATTAACAATTGTTTGTAAAATAAAATGTAACTATACAAAAATATTTTAAACTAAATCGTATTATACTGGAAGCCACAGATATCAACTATTGTATTCGGTATTCACTGATTTATGTTATATATAATATTGTGTATGGTCAAGTACAGGTGTCAATTCTCTATGATGAATATTAGCAGTTAAACTTCCAGCTGACCTATAACAAAGATTATATGACTTTTATGACACTCTACATTACAATTACTATATACACATCTGACGGGAGAAAGATTCTTTAAAAAACTGGAATGAGTGAAATGCCAAGCAACATCATTCAGTACACGTAGCTCATGGTTCCAGTGCGACGGCCAGGCGGCGACAGGTGAGGGTGAGGGTTGGGTGGCTCTGTGATGACCTGAACTTTTACCCACTCTTTCTTCTTGCTTGATTCTTTAACAGCGTCGAGTACTGCTTGTGTGTACAAGCCATCTTCAAACGTAGCTGCCATAGCAACAGGCTCTTTTACCCAGCTGTGTTTGTCTTCTATAGCAGCAAATGCCCCCTTTAGCGCAGTAATAAGTTTAAACAATCCTCGTAGGTATGGCTTCGGTAGGTGTGTGCCCGTGACTTCCAAAGAAGAAGTCGAACGAGCCAGATCATCAATGTCTCTGTAAAGAAGCTCCTCTTTGTTCTGCGACAGCTTCTGTCCATAGAGGTCCGAGCCGCGCAGCGTCAGTCTGCCCCTCGTACCGCAGATGAGAATCTCCTGAAAGAACTGCCCGGGTATGTGGTTATTGAGCGTCACCGTCGCCGACGCGCCCCTGTCCAATTCCATCTGAAACGTGCAGAAGTCGTCGCTGGTGATGCTGCGTATGCCCGAGATGCGCCGCGACTGCTTGTTGTACGTCTTCACCATGCCGTTGAGCAGCATCGCCTTCTGTCCCGTCAGATAGTAGAGGATGTCGACGACGTGGCTGCCGAGAATGCCGAGGACGCCGCCGCCCATGTGCTCGTCGCACATCCAGTCAAACTGGTTGTCGATGAGCGGCCCGCAGTGGATGCGCGTCTCGCAGACGTTCAGCTCGCCGATGTAGTGCTGCTCGACGAGCCGGCGCGCCTGCATGAACGCGGGCAGGAAGCGCAGGCCGTGCGACATCACCGAGATCAACGACGGGTAGTACTGTGCTGCGTTGACCATCTTCAGCACGCTGCTCTGACACAGCCCCGCGGGACGGTCGCACAGCACGTGCTTGCCGATGCCGAGGGCCTTCACGGCAATCTGGCCATGCAGCTGCGGCGGACACATGATGCAGACGAGGTCGACGTTCTTGTGCAGCAGAACCTCGTCGACCTGCCGTGGCGACAACGAAAAAATACTCGTGATGAACGGGAAAAATTCATGCTGGAATTCTCTATCGGGATATGACAACCTGAGATGATATTTTTTCAATAATATAATCAAAGATGGATTGGCATACGAGAAGTATTAGCAAGGAATTATACCTGATGAAATTACTAGTATTAGTGCTAACCTTTAGCAAAATTGTGCAAAAAAACTATATTCGTTTCAGGACATACTTAGCTCACAATAAAAAATACCCAATGTATAGTGATCATTCATTACCACCCTGTTTTAAGCTACGATTCCCCATCAACTCATCATGCATCACTCTGCTTGATATTACTTAGTAACATTTGTTTAGGGACACAGAAACGAGTGAGCGATTCTTCCAAACAGAACAAATCAATGCAAGCAGTACATACTTTGTTTGTGTAAAAAGGAATATTGAGATCATTTGCAAGGCACTCCGCCTCTTCCTGAGTGCGTCCCCAAACAGCTTCCACGAGAAATCCATTATTCCTGAGAATTGGCACTAAAACCCTCACTATTGGTCCTGAAACAGATACATGCCATATTAAAAATGTACTCAGACTACAGCTAAACATATATATTTTGAAACATAAGATTTATAATCCTGGCTCTGCAGTATAACATTTTAATCACACTTTTGTATATTCGACTTCTGAAGAATACAAGCTTGTATATTTGTCCTCAATTATTTGTGCTTTTAAAATAAGCGTCACACATGGCAACTTCATTATCATGATACCAAACTAAGGGTTTCTGGTAGATACGATTCAAGTTACAAATGTTCATGCAACGATTTTTTTCTGAAATGCATTCCTTACATGTGGGATATTATGGTATATGGTGTGTTTGTTTTCACGTGCATAGCTATTGCATACATCATCGTTAATAACAGCTTCAGCTGCTTCTTGGTGCTACATATAACAACAGTTTTATCAACAAGTACCATTATGTAAAATCGTAAACTGATACAATGATGAAGGCTCAAAAACTTATCATGTTAACGCTCTTTTCTTATGCATAAACTCTACTCATTATTGTACATGCTGTAGGCTATTGTTGTATTTCATAGTGCCACATTAGATTATCGATCTGGAGACCCACTAAAGTGCATAATTTGGGTTTAGTTTTGCTTGTTATCAACATTTGAGCTTCTATTGTTTAGCTGCTTACTTCCTTTTTACTAAGTATATAGCACTCCTTACTATACAATTTACTGTCGATGTACATATGGTTAGAAATAGACTTTTTACCAGTCGCCAAGTACTAGTAAATTCATGATTCAGTTGCCTATTTATTAACTAATATTTTAAAGGGTTGCTGACTTTGATGACTAACAGCTATGGTTTTCACAGCTTACATGCTCTGTTCAGAATTTATGTATAATAACCCATATATTTTACACATCTGCTATTCCACACTCTATTTAAAGGTCTTTTGTACAATTAAACACATTGAATCTTGGATGTTACCGGATTAACACCATGCAGTGACCGAGTTTAAAGTTATAATATGCCTGAAAAGTAAATGTGGTAGCATGTTGAGTAGTAACATGAGTTCTACGAATGGTCTAACTTTAGGGGGTGCAACAGTGATAAAACCAACAGCTTACTCATGTGCATATAAATGCATTTGAGCATGGATCTACGGCAGGAGAATGGGGGGAGGGCTGTCGAATAAACGAGGCTGAAGGCACACAATTACATGGTATGTTTGTTTTCGCTGTTGTTCACTGCAAGCCTGTCACCTGTTGGTTACTATGTACCAGGGCCATAGCCTGTGGGGGACAAGGGGGGCAGCTGCCCCCCTAGATTTTGGAGCAAAATTAAAAAATTCGCTTAGCTATTAAGCGTGAATAACCCTAACGAGATTTTTGTGGTCACTTATCCGTGAATGCCTTGTCTCAGACCCATCCCCAGGCTTTCATTTTTAAGGGGGGCGATCGCGCTCGCGCTCCACCGCGCACCCGAAATTGTCCCATGGTGCGCGCATCATCGCGCCTCATAAAAGTGGTTGAAATCGCGCACCAAAAGTATGTCTATCATGTTGAAATAGCGCTCCACAGAGTTCTCAATGTAGGGGGGTACAAAAAGGTTAGCAACACACAACAATTTGTGGTGTGTAAGTAACTGAACGTATGGCAGAGGTACAGGTCTGGTTACTACCCTCTGGTTTATGTATATATATAAATACAACTAAACAACAGCATCCAAATACAGGTACCTATACGGTAGCCACAAGTTACCTGCTCGTTTTCTACTATACGTGGCGAGAAGTGGTTTTCTGCCGACGTGAAACAGTCGTAGGGCTGGAGGGGCTACATACGTGACTACTACGTACAAGTAATTTGGCTAGTTTGTTGATGGATTGTGATGATATTTTGTGCTGAAATATGCAGGTCATGGATTAGAATCTCTAAGGATGGAAATCAGAATAAATAAAACAAGTTTATTTTTACATCCGATCAACTCTTTTATTAATCTGTGTGCTAGTGTTGGGTTGTTGGATGAAAAGAATGTAATCCTGACGAAGCCATTGAATGAATGAAGGTGAAGATGAATGATAATCAGTAGATTGACATGACATCCAATTTTCGTTTTGGATTTCACTCTAGACTGAGGATTGGTCATGATTCCATCATCACACCCCAAGAGGCATGATGGAGAGCCCTCAAGGAGCTCTCCATCATCCCTTTTAAAGGTGTGATTTTTAGTGGAGCTCTCCATCATGCCTCTTAAGGGTGTGATTTTTTAGTGGAGCTCTCCATCATGCCTCTTAAGGGTGTGATTATGGAGCGTGAAAAGACCCCCTATGGTGTCCTAGGGGAGTCATTAGTAGTCCTCCTGTACTTTTCAAATCTGAAAGCCTGCATCCCTATCACCATATGGACATCGATCAAAAGCTGCGCCCGTCGCGGCGTCGCTCATCACTGCACAATTGAGTCATGAAATGTTGCCCCCCCCCCCTAGAAATTTGCTCAGCCTACGACCCTGCTATGCACTGATTATTCAGTAGTCTTCAAAGATAGCAAGACTACAGAAACTGACGATACTAGTGTAGTCCACGTTAGTTTAGTTGGACAACAAAAACATGACTTGCTCATTACTGCTGTGCAGTAGTAGCGATAGCAGTAATACTAATACTAGTAGTATTATTACTAATACTATTAGTAATAGTACTAGTAGTCACTAATTTTGTAATCTACTTGTAACTTGATACCATTACTTTACCTGTACCAAATACACCTATCCCCGGAAGCATTTCCACCCAGCACGCACGGTGAAATAGCAATTAGCAGCTTCAAGATGAGTGTACTTTATATACTGCCACTGCCAGGTTCGCCAACTTTAATCCGTTCGCAGGGCATTTATTTAGTAAACGATTTACGTTATATTGTACGCCAGGGGGAGGCAACTCGAACTGTCGTCTATGGCCTAGTAGTAGTACAGTAGTATCACTAAGTATGGGGTTGGTGTCTTGACTCTTGACTGAGTCTTGGTAACACCCTTGCCAATAACTTAAATAACCAAATGTTTTAACGTCTATAGAGTTATATATTTTAACTTTTATATAACTATTATTAAAGACCGTATACAATGATATTCGCTCTTTGCTGTTATATGATTTTATGATAAGTTCCCTCGAACATGACAAGAAATTGTAAACTGTCGACCATTACTGATCTGTGCTGCCCTCTGCAGAAGAAAGACATTAACTTTTACACTGTCACACCCATAGAAATAATGTAGATAGCCAATATTATAGATATATAGGTTATATATATAATATATATATATATATATATATATATATATATATATTATTCACAGACTAACAAATACAATTGAAACAAATACAATAACAAATACAAACACAGACTAACAAAACAAATACAATATAGGCCTATATAATGTACATATATAATATTTAATATAATGTAATATAATGTAATATAATACACATGTAATATATAATGTACATACAATGTATTGATTAGTCTGTAGTCAAATTCTGTGTTCTGTATGTAGTGAGTTAAAAAAAAACGTATGGTAGGCCTATGTACTGAGAAAATCCGTAACCTGAATCGCGTTTTTCCTTATGGACTGCTATTACATACTTTGACATACGTCTACGGTACATCTTTCAGCTAAAAGTTTACTAGAATGATAATTATGAGTGCGAGTAAACATATTACGCGCAAATATTGAATATTTCACAGTAGGCCTATGTAACGCGTACAGTAATGTAGCAGTATTATTATGATGGAAGGGAATTGAGTCCAGAATTAAAATTACTGGGGTACCAGGGTCAGGAATGCCAGCAGAGGTTGCTGCCCGACACATGCGCTTATTTCTTAGATGGAAGGGGGTCGTAAACTTACATAGTGAGTAGGGGCGGATGGCTATATGCTGCTAGTACAAGCCCATTTTTATGGGAAAAGTTTTATAACGCCATCTTCAGCGTTTTAACAGGATATAATTGCTAAAACTATATAACTATACTGATATATTGTAACATAACATATGTAAAGTAAAATAAGTCAACCTAAATTCTGTCTTCATAATTATTTTTATAAGCTATCACGACCGCGGTCAAACTAACCCATTACAGGGGCTGTAACATCTAGAACAAGTAGGCACAATCTAGGGATATATTTCTAATAATCAAGATTACAAAGTACCATTTTCTGCATTTCCAAAAATATAGATACCGTATGTGCGTTGAACAAGTATTACATTGTACATATTTTTGCGATATTTTTTATTGTTTATTATACACGCTACGTTATGATTATATTTACAGTTACATACGGTATATACAAACTACATTTGCTACTGTCCTGACGGCGATTAGCGAAGCCCTACAGGTAACGAGCAACTGCAATTTTGTCAAAGATCAAAGTCAGGCCAGTAGAATGACTTCCTGTGGCATTAAACCCGTGGTACCGCATAAGAGCTTCACTTTGCTTCTGCGCAGAGTCGGGATGGCGGTGTTGCCACAAGAAAACGGAGCTATCCGATGTGTTACCCATGTAAATACACGCGGGCGTGCACGTTCCTACTGCATGTGCGCGCAGAGTTGTGCGCGGCGTTTCCATGCTCCACAGATATACGTACATTCGTGAACTTAAATACACGCTGCCGAAAAGCACCCAGAAGAAGAGACAGCAGTGGCAATGTATCATGTGGGTGGCGCTCACACCGAATGTGAAAATCGCATCATACTAGCTGTCAATCTAGTCCTTCCAGCCGTATCCATGCATGTGTGAAGGCATGCCATTAGAGCTTCTTCCAAAGCTTCGCCAGGTAACCTTATCCACATAAATGTTAGTCTTCAAAAGTCCTAGGGACTATAACGAAGACGGAGAGAGAAGTGGATCAAATCGGTAGATCCACACTACGGATCGCAGTGGAAAAGGTTGCAAATTTGCTATTTACCAAGGATGAAAGCAGGGAATTCCAATACGGAATCACAGAAACAAAGACGCTAAACTTAAAAGGATCCTTAGAAGTTTGCACGTGCCGAAAATAGTGATCACGCTCAGATGAGCGAGTGTAGCGAACGGGCTTCATTTAAGCAAGAGGGAATGCCAATTTTCATATATATATTTATATATATATATAGCGTTCGCCGTATTTATGCGAAATGATATTTCTTACCCATGAGCTTACGCTCGAGTTCGATCAATGGATTAGTCAGTGTATATGGGATAGCAAACAATAACACATGTAAAATCCACGCCCCAGGCTTGCAACCGTGCTTTCCTATCTACGATTTGTTCGTTTATTGCTCGTCGCTGTGTGGGAAAAAAACAAATTCGAATACAACACCACACAGCACATTGGGCGCTGCATTTTCCACGCTTTGCCTTGGAGAGAGAGAGAGAGAGAGAGAGAGAGAGAGAGAGAGAGAGAGAGAGAGAGAGAGAGAGACAGACAGACAGACAGACAGA